GAGTCTCATGATTTTTAACAATATTAGTCAACTTTTCGTTCAGTCTCAGTGCCTTATGTCAATTTGAAAGACCTAGCTAGCTAAAAAACATGTACAAGTAATAAGAAGCTTTCATTACATTTCCATTATGATGACCTAATCACTGATCCAGGCTTCGATTTGAGGCATTTTATAAGTTTTACAAGTGGATCCATTTCAAAGAAACATACAAAAGTGGCAGAGTAAACTATTTATTTATTTATTTACTATATTTATATCCCGCCCTTCTCGACCCCAAAGGGGGCTTACAGCAGAGGCAAAATTCAATGCCTTAAACAACTCAACAATTAAATAACATGTAGTTAAAAATCCAAACAAAGTTAAAAGCAATTAAAACATAAATAATAAAATAACATTATCCACCATCAAGGTCAGGCCATTTCAGTGATTGTTACACATAAATCCAAATAATCTATTGCACTGTGTTAGTTGCCAAAGGCTTGGTCACAAAGCCATATTTTCACCTTTTTTCTGAAAGTCAAGGGCTAATCAAATATCACTGGAGAGGGAGTGCCATAGTCAAGGAGCCACCACTGAAAAGGCTCTGTCTCTCGTCCCCACCAACTGTGCCTGCGAAGGAGGCGGGACCAAGAACAGGGCCTCTCCAGATGATTTCAATCTCCAAGATGGTTCATAGGGGGAGATATGTTCGGACAGGTAAGCTAAGCCAGAACCATTTAATTAAAGCTATAAAGAACATTAGTGTTCTTTAGCTATATTTGCTATTACATTCAGTTCTTTGCTATTACATTCAGGTGCGCTGTAGAATACCTGGGGGAAAATTCGTAATATATATATATATATATATTTACTGTGTGTATATGTGTGTGTATGGATGAGGTAATGTTAACAGTCTTTGAGAAGTGGCAAGCCAAAATCCTGAATATTCTGTATGTAAACATTAAGAAAAGTGTGTACATAATTACCTATTCAGTTCGTATTGCTTTGTTCATCCCATTTCCAGCCATAACCAACTTCAGATTTTTTCTATAATAAATTAAAAAGCATTTGGGGAGGGCTTGCAGATATAATGTTTTAGAAATTTAGTAATACAGCCTATAGCATTCAGTTTAGATTATGAGTTAAGGAATGAATTTGATTTTTATGTGCGCCTCTGTGTGTTGTTATACTAGTCTTTTTCCTAATATAGGAACAGCACAGATGATCCAAAAATCACAATTTGTGAAGCATTTAGTAATTATGAGAAACAGTTTTTTTGTCTTGGAGGAAATGTGTATATATTTACACAGTTAATGTTATTGTTTAACGTGCTGGTTTTGATTGCACAATCTGGTAGAGGCAGTAATTACATAACCTGATAATAGCAACAGCGCTCGTTTTTACCACGGATGGGTGATATTGACTTCCTGAGACAGAGAGTACCACAGCATTGGTACTCATTTGAAATTCAGGCCCAAGGGGAAAATCTACTATCCATAAATGATGCAGGAGTGGGTGGCTCTTACTTCTCTGCTAAATACATTGCTGGCTTCCCCCTGGCAGGTGTAAATTGGTCAATTAATGTGATCCTGCTGGGCACAGACATAGGCATCTGTTATGCCATCTACCAACCATGAGATCCAAATACTTGTAGTATTTTCTTGCTTCCATTTTTCTCTTTCTCATAAGGGATTTTTCCTTATTCACTTGTTTAGAAAAGCAGTAGCTATTTTCCAACCTAGTCAGGACAATGACCTTGACTTCGATCCCTGGGTGGCATGTTTTTAACCTCCAATGTATTTTAATCATGTTTATTATGCTAGTAATTTTAATCTAAATCATTGCATTCTTATTTATAAATGTTAGATTGATGGAAACTGTGTGACAGTGTCAGAGGAAAGTCTATCCTTAATTGCCATATCCTTCCTTGGAGCAGCAGACTGCTGTAAGATGTCTTACCATGACCTGTTCTGGAGCCTTTATTTTTAAAAGTGGGGGCATTGTTTGCAGAAGTTACAAATAATGAGATTTCATCAAGATGGCCAAATACTGTTCACACTTCCTGAACCCATTCAGTGACTTGCGGTAGTTTCTCTTATCAGAGGTTCAGTAATGCCTGAATTGTGTTGAAAGAAGAAAACTGCAGCATCAAAGGCAACCACGGACCATTTCCCTTCACCAGTCTCTCCACATAGAAATTATAGTTTGGGTCAAAAGTGAGTCTTCTACAAACAGAAGTGCTCTACCTATTAATCAAAGACTTTTAAGGCACTTGTGAGAGGAATGAAGAAAGGCAGCTTTTGCTTCTAGACTAGCCACTCTGCTTTAGGGAGTTGTAATTTGGTAAGGTGGCAGCACACATTGGCAGAGAAGGCTAAATTACTTTTGAAACTACAACTCCCATAATTCCATGGGAGTTAAAGTGACACCAATTTGCATTAATTCTACAGTGTAGATTTGCCCCTAGATTCTGGAACTCCCTTCGGTGGAGGACCAGTTGGCACTCCTTCTGCTTTCTTTCTGCCAACAGGTTAAAACATTTTTTATTCAGGCTTAAAGCAGTAGTGTGGGCTAAAGTAGTGTACTGTAATTTTAATCTGTTACTGGAAATTACGTTTTAAATATGTTTTGTTTAAAACCATTATAATGATGTTTAAAAAATATTATTTTAAAAAACTTTTGTAAACTAATGGTTTAACTTAATATTTTAAACATCATTGTTATTGAATTTGTATCATGGGAGATAGACATGATACAAATTCAATAAATAAAATAAATATTAAGAAGTTTTGCTATGTTTGCTATGTTTGAATGGTCAAGGTAAATGAAGAAAATCAAAGGGATAACTGAAACAGGCAACCTCTAATCTACTATGATTGCATGAATTACATAAAAGGCGGAGCCTAGGTGCTTCCTGTGGCAACCTTACAAGTGCTACTGCTGCAATATGAAACATCAGTCCCAGTATTCGTCTATCCCCTGTCCTCTACTCATAATGCTACCTGAAGGTCAGTTCAGGTAGCATTATGAAGGAGGGAGGGAGGTAGATAAATAGAACCATAGAATCCTAGAATTGGAAGGGCCATCCAGTCCAACACCTTGCCATGCATGAACCCACAATCAAACCACCCCTGATAGATGGACATTCAGCCTCTGCTTCAAAACTTCCAGAGACAGAGACTGTATCTCACTCCACAGCAGCATATTGTATTGCCCAACAGCTCTTACCATCAACTAGTTCTTCCTGATACTGAAGTGCCACTGGCTGCCAGTCTGCTATCAGGCACAATTCAAAGTGCTGGCTTTAGCCTATAAAGCCCTAAACGGTTCTGGCCCAACTTACCTGTCTGAACACATCTCCCCTTATGAACCCTCCAGGACTTTAAGATCGTCTGGAGAGGCCCTGCTCTCGATCCCGCCTTTGTCACAAGTACAGCTGGCGGGGACGAGAGACAGTGGTGGCCCCTCGGCAATGAAATGCCCTCCCTAGGGATATTAGATCGGCCCCTTCCCTTTTAACATTTCGAAAGCAGGTCAAGACGTGGCTCTTTGAGCAAGCATTTGCAGACACAATATAACAAACATGGAGAAAAATGGAATGACCTGACGATGTTATTGGATAATGCTTTTAACTAGGAGACTCAAATGGATATATGTTTTTTTTTATATTGATTGTTTTACTTGGTTTTATATTTAAATGATTGTTTTAAATTGTATTTTATATCTTTGATATTGACTGTAAACCGCCCTGAGTCGCCTGTGGGCTGACAGGGGCGGTATATAAATGTAGTAAATAAATAAATAAATATAAGTGGGATTTTTTTTCTTACAATTTGAAACTATTGCTCTATGTCCGAGACTCCAAAATAGCAGAAACCAAGCTTGCTTCCTCCTCAAGTTTGACATCCTTTCAGATATTTAAACATGGCTATCATGTCCCCTTTCATCCTTTTCTCCAAGCTAAGCATGCCCAGCTTCCTCAGATTCAGCGCTATATTATCAGCTCAGCTCTAGACTTCACTTCAGTTTGTTTCCCAGTAAGGTAACCAGTTTTCATGTATGGTTATTGTTCAATAAATGATGACAGAATGTTGAATTCAATAGAAATTATTTTAGGGATCAAAGCAAATGGAGCAGGGTATGACCTTCATATTCATGGGACAGGTACCCAAGATTCCACCTACCTTCATAGGGCTTTTCTAGGTACTTCAAATGATTCTATAGTATGCTTCCACAAGAATTTACTCTACAGCTCTTCCAGCAAATTCCTAAGGAGGGTATTTTCTCTAGGAATTTTCTGATCCTCCAGCACAAGACTATGGTAAAAGCCACTTATTTCATTAGGGTTTGCGGTTATCCGTGGTCTCCTGTTTCCATAGTACATTTATGAACGTATCCCCTGCGGTTATGGGCTCATACTGTAACAATGCATTTCCCTTATTCAGGATCAACTTCTTAATCATTCAAAGCAACTCTAGTTCCTCTTGTGGTTCTGCAGGAGGTTTGACAAGGTGCCTTCTCTGGCATGTATTTCCTTGGTCTTGTGCTTATATTTAATCAGAAGTGACGAAAGGATCTGACAGCTGTGGAAAAAACACTTTCTGCCAGCATCGGCTCTGTAGATAAAAAAGTTTCTTTAATTCCCAGCATGTTCCACATAGTAATATTTCTATAAGGCAAAAAAAAAAATAACCCTCCTTGGACATAAATATCACATATATAAAGGCAATTGGCAGCCACATAGGAATACATATGAGAGGCTTATAACTGAATCAGAGCATTGGTCCTTCTATCCTAGTATTGTTGACTTTGGCTGGAAGTGGATGTCCATAGTTCTAGGCAGGATTTTATCTGGCCCTATCTGAAGGTCCTGAGGATTTTAACAGGAGACCTTGTGCATGAAAGGCATATGTTCTCCCACTGAGGAAAAACCCCTTCCATTTTGCAATATCTATATATAATCCCATTTCAAAAAAGGACCAATCTAATTATTTGTATGTTTTGAAAACAGCTTGTTTCACTGCTGTTTTGGCAGCACATACACTAAAATAGGAATGAGATCAAGAAGATTAGTATAGCCTCTGTGCTAGGATAACATGCAAATTTGAAAAGCATTTCATATTAACAGAAAGAGAAACAAGGGAAAAAACCACTGTTTCCATTTCAGTGTGTATAGAAGCACTAATGCATGTAGATGTTAGGATTATTACAGTGCAAAAATAAGGATGTTGATGGATTATTACATCTGGTTTTTAGATCTGTGAAGCAGTTTTTCCCCCTGGAGAAAAAGCTGCTGTCTGAAATATGTTGTATAAACTGTTGCTGTGGTCCCCCCCCCCCTTCTATTTGTTTGAACCCCTGGCCATATTACCTAGTTCATGAGAGGCCATGGGAAGAAATCAATAGAGACTTGTGCTGGATATATTTAAGAACTACCGCCAGTCAGATTAGATCAGTGGTGCACAACGTGAATTACTCTCAGGGTTACTTCTATATTTTTATTAACTCGGAAGGGCCACACGGCTGCATTAGCAGTAGAAAAGCATTTTCCTTGCATCTTTAACCCATCCTTTTCTTTTCTGCATTCCATCACATTGTTCTTTCTGCAGTCCTACATTTCAGCTAGCTCCCTTTCTCATGAAGTCATCTGTGTCGCTTTGTACTTTATCGTCAATATAAACAGAGCCCTCCTGGATATGTCAAAAGTCCACCTAATTGGTTATTCTGATCCCATTGTGGTTAGTCAGGTATTCTCAGGAAGTCCATAGGCAGAGCATGAAGGTCATGGCCACTACTACTCACACCATTTATATTTGCAAAAACCTCCATCAACTTAATTCTTTCAGGTACTTTTAGTGTCTGCAATCGTTGTAAAAGCACCACCACCAAATGGCTGCTCATGTGCATTTTCTACACTAATTTTACAAATGCCTTTTTTTTAAAAAAAGGGAGGGATTTTTTTTTTCACTTACGGGGAATTGATCCATTGCATGTGCAACAAAAGTGGACAGAAAGACTCAAATTGCTTGCCTTCCATTCATGTCTGTTGTTTGGCATTCTGGAAAGGTTCTGGCTGCTTGAGTCCTTTGCAAAGCAAATAAATCAGTTCCTCTTACCACTATTCTCTTTCAAGGGTGCATCTACACTGTAGAGTAATGAAATTTGACAATATTTAACTGCCGTGGCTGTATAGTTTTACAATGTCTTTAGCCTTCGCTGCCAAAGAATCCTAATACCTCCCCAACCTACAGATCTCAGGATCCTATAGCATTGAGCCATGGTAGCTGTTGATTTCAAACTGCATTAATTCTAGTTAAAGGTAAAGGTTATCCCCTGACATTAAGTCCAGTCATGCCCGACTCTAGGGATTGGTGCTCATGTTCATTTCTAAGCCGAACAGCTGGTGTTGTCCATAGACACCTCCAAGGTCATGTGGCCAGCATGACTGCATGGCATACCGTTACCTTCCTCCCGGAGCAGTACCAATTAATATACTCACATTTGCATGTTTTCAAACTGCTAGGTTGGCAGAAGCTGGGACTGACAGCGGAAACTCATGCTGCTCCCCGGATTCGAACCTGTGACCTTTTGGTCAACAAGCTTAGCAGCTCAGTGGTTTAACCCACTGCACCACCGGGGGCTTAATTCTACAGTGTAGATATACCTCTAGACTCGCTTTCCCATCTTCCTGTTCAGTTTTCTTTTTTATTCTTTACTAGTCGTCCCCTGCCACGCGTTGCTGTGGCCCACTCTGGTGCTCATGGGGGTTCTGTGTGGGAGATTTGGCCCACTTCTAACGTTGGTGGGATTCAGAATGCTCTGTTATTGTAGGTGAACTACAAATCCCAGCAACTACAATTCCCAAATGTCAAGATTCTATTTCCCCCCACCAGTGTTCACATTTGGGCATATTGAATATTCATGTAGAGTTTGGTCCAGATCCATCATTGTTTGAGTCCACAGTGCTCGCCGGATGTAGGTGAACTACAACTTCAAAACCAAAGGACACTGCCGTCCAAACCCTTCCAGTATTTTCTGTTGGTCATGGGAGAACTGTGTGCCAAGTTTGGTTCAATTCCATCATTGGTGGGGTTCAGAATGCTCTTTGATTGTAGGTGAACTATAAATCCCAGCAACTACAACTCCCAAATGACAAAATCATTTTTTTTTTGAGTGAAGGACATACATTGGGTTGTTAGGTGTATCGTGTCCAAATTTGGTGTCAATTCCCCCAGTGGTTTTTGAGATCTGTTAATCCCACAAACGAACATTACATTTTTATTTATATAGATTCTCATTTTAGTTGTTTTATGTTCTTCAAACAGACTTGGTAACCTAGCCCCCGAATAGTTCCTTCGGTACTACCTTTTTTCCTCCTCACTGTCTTCTCAAAGAAGTCACGATTCATCTAACAATAAAGCTGTGTGACACTTTTCCTACAGTCTAATATTTCTTCTCCTAAGACAGCAGGGATTCCAGTTTTACTAACTGTGACAGAAGGAATGACACCCACCCTAACAAATTCTGACAACCAAATTTACTAAAGCATATTGTAAACTTCAGCATTAAGTAGAAAACCCCCAAAATCGGTAAAATCCCTAGGAAAAAAAGTGAATCAATGACATAATGAATTAAATAGTGAAATAATACTAAGCCCTGGCCATTTTACACAGCTTCCGCTTTTTGATTTAATAGCCATCGTAGTTTTCACGAAACCAGGACACAAGAGCTTAGGAAGACAGAGAAGATGGAAAACATGGTCCTGACTTTTTGTCATGGCTACTAAATAGTGAGCTAACTAGTCTAGGAGCTTAATGTCCAATCCAGTTTTGTTTTTCAGTACCTGGACTTAACACCTGGCAAAAAGCTGGAGATGTCATCATGTTGCAAGTTCAGTATCTGTTGTTACTTATTAAGTGATGTTAGTATGCATGGTGTATGCTTCCAAAGTAGTAATTTTTAATTTTATTCTTTCCAATTTAATATGAGCTTTTTAATAATGTAGGACTTCAGAGACAGAAGCAGTGCATTTGCATATGCCAACTACGCGCCATCAGGTTTGTGTCTTTATACATCCTGTGCTTCTGTATCAAAGCCTGTTTTGTTGTTTTTTTATTTAATAGCACCCAAAGGTGCGCTTGGCACATCACAGAAGGCATAAAGAGACACAGCCCCTGCACTGAAAAGCTTGTAATCTAAATTTAGGATTGACGTAATGTGTTTGGATGAGAAAAAAAGTGCTTATGTGTGTGCATGAAAGAGAGAGCACTGCAGGAAAAGAAGTTGTTTACTGATTTGGAAAAAAAAACCCTACTATATATGATGACTAAATAGGAAAAAAAACGGTTGGTGTAAACTATTGCAGTTAATTGACTTGTAATAACTTAAAAGAGTAACATCTTGCAAGGGAGATTGGACAATCAGAGAAACGTTCAAACCTGTTTTGCTTTGGAAAGGCCATTTCTTGACTCCATCTGTGAGAGCAGCTGTCAGGAAAGAGAAGATGGGCCCCAGAGCAGTTAGAGGTGGACTTCTAATGTTGTAGGAAAAGAAGTGAAAAAAAGAAGTAAAGCTGTCCGGGAATAAGACTTTAATAAGATCCTCTGGTCCTGTGTCCGACTTCACAGAACCCAATTTCTCTCTTTGAAGGGATATCAGAGGACAGTTCTCTGTTTCAGGGCATCCTCTGTTTGAAGGGTTGCCCATTCTAAGTCAGGACTAAAGATCAAGAACTATAACAAGACAGGAGAGCAGGGGTCTGCAGAAATTGGTATCCAGGGAGTAACTGAGCAGACTGGCAGATGGATTGTTCACTGAATGTGTTCTTTACCCTATCAAGAGGTATTTTATTTCTATGGATATCATAATAATTATTTCTACCCATATAAATGACCATTTTCAGCTTTTATTGGGGCTCGTGCCTTCCCCTGTTTTAACATTGCATCAATAGTCCCCTTTAATTCCACTCATACATGTACTGCATTCTCAGTGATAAAGCCAGGAGCTCCCAGTGGTGCAATGGGTTATACCAGGGGTCCTCAAACTAAGGCCCGAGGGCTGAATACGACCCTCCAAGGCCATTTACCCAGCCCTCCCTCAGGGTCAACCTTAGTCTGAAACGACTTGAAAGCACACAACAACAAAAACAAGAATAACAATCCTATCTCATCATCCAAAAGCAGGCCCACACTTCCCATTGAAATACTAATAAGTTTATATTTGTTAAAATTGTTCTTCATTTTAATTATTGTATTCTTTTTAAGTGTTTTTTGCACTACAAATAAGATATATGCAGTGTGCATAGCAATTTGTTCATGTTTTTTCAAATTATAATTCGGCCCTCCAACAGTTTGAGGGTCTGTGACCTGGCTCTCTGTTTAAAAAGTTTGAGGACCCCTGGTGACTGCTGACTGAAAGGTTAGCAGTTCAAATCCGGGGAGCGGGGTGAGCTCCCATCTGTCAGCTCCAGCTTCTCATGCAGGGACATGAGAGAAGCCCCACACAGAATGGTAAAACATCTGGGCGTCCCCTGGGCAACATCCTTGCAGACAGCCAATTCTCTCACATCAGAAGTGACTTGTGGTTTCTCAAGTTGCTCCTGACACAGAAAAAAGTGATGAAGCCATAGTAACATGCCTTGATTTGTCCATTTTCCCATCATGTTTGTTTGTCTATGCATCAGAGCAAGTAGATTTTTCTCTCTCCTTAGTTTGGCTGGTAATCTCTCTCAGTACTGAAATTTCAGCCACCTAGTCCCAGGAAAACTGTCATTAAATATCAACATATTTTTCTGGCAGAATTATAGTACGAAGACATGTCTTCTAGACAGTCTTGGTTCCACCTTATCTCTTGGTGCCAATTTTGTGATGCTGCATAACATTCTGTGTCCTATTGCCACCTTCTGTAATCCTAGCAACATTTGATTGGTACAATAGTCCCCATGTGATACGCTCTGTGATATCCTTGATCCAAATATCAGGTTAATGCTAATTAATCTTTTTTGAAACCGACATTGTATTTTGGCATACCTAAATCCCAAGTCTCACCCTGTGATGTTCAGATGTGGTGATGGGAAGACATACACACAATTTTAATTAAGCACAAAATTATTAAAAGCCTTAGGAGC